AGCAGTTTAGACATTAATGGCTGTGTGTTGAGTTATTTTGAGGGGACAGCAGATTTACACTGTTATACAAGCTGTACACTCACTTTACATTGTAGCAAAGTGTCATTTCTTCAGTGTTGTCACATGAAAAGATATAATAAAATATTTACAAAAATGTGAGGGGTGTACTCACTTCTGTGAGATACTGTAATGGTGCTTTTGGGAAACGGACCCCTGAATGGGTATTCTGTGTAGTCAAAAGCCATTGCTAAGTGGTTGCGAAGGTTTTCATAGTTGTTTTTAGCTTGCTATGTTGCATATAGGATATTCTGGAAGGCTGCAAGGATGTTGCTAGGTGGTTGCTATGGCTCTCGGAATTGAATCGATTTTAGTTTTGCTACTTAGTTTATTACTTTACCAAATAAAAATCCATATCTCCCGGATATACAGGCCCTTCAATATGACTTAGGTTCCTACTACTTACATCTATGGGATTGTATCACCCATTTTATCATCCGCCATGTGAAAAAAATAAATAAAAAACAAACACACATCACACTGATCATTCAGAAAAGCAAGCAACAAGCTAGGGGTATCATTCATCTCAGTAACAAAAACTGTTCAGGACGAGTTGCGTGCCAAAGTTTAATTGCTAGCGTTTGGGGTTTGTTCATATCTGTAACTCCAATCATGATGCCTAACTTGGCAAACACCTCTAATAAACCTAATTGGAAATTCTAATTCTTACTTTTAGCTGAATTAAATAGGTATATAGATTATTGTACATGAAGCCTGTGCAGGTCTCCAGTCTAATAGGGTAAAATCATCTCTAGTTCTACTGACACGATTCAGGGGAGAGTAAAGTGTGAGAAAACAAGAAACAGTCTGACAGAGAAAGAGAAAACTAGCTACAAATGATCTTTAATGACACTCTCAAATAGGGTCAATAAGCTCTCTCGTTCTCACTCTCTGACCAATCTATGTAGTGCTGCATGTCTCGCAGCACAGGCGCAATGACATATCACCATTTCTGCAAAAGCCACAAAGTGCAAAAAAGGGAGAAAACATCAAAGAGCAGTAGCAGGGCCAGCTGTGAACCAGTCACTCTTTCCTGTGTGGGTGGCAAAGAATGGCAGAGAAAACAGAGGGGGAAAAAAGGGATAGATGACTTGAGGTGGTCAGAAGGCAATGAGATAGAATTTGCAAAACGGAGTGAAAGACAGCAAGTGTGAAAGGTGAGATGCACCATGCTTTTCAAACGCAGGCTTTCACCCACGCTTGGCTCGGCAAACAGAGAGTTAACAAGAACACGTGAAAAAGATAGATAAAAAGTGAGTGCACTCAAAAGCATCCTAACAGTAAAACAGGATTTTTACATGTTCTGAAGAAAACAGTGGACATTGCCCATGCAAAACTCTAGCGCCATCATCGTGCTAGAGTTTTCCAGGTGTTTGCCGGGAGTCGTAAGTAAGTTGCCAAGGATATTCAAAGAGGTTATAAGGTTGCTGCTTACTGGTCCAAGTCAAAAGAGCCCATCAACAAGATATTTTAGTCTCTAGATATGGCACAGGTCCCTCCTTCCATTTAAGTCTAGGGGATTTTCGCCAGTTTAATTTGTCTGCCAGATGCATAAGTGTGATTTTTTAGAAATGTAAAAACACACCTTTCCTCAAACTGCAAGATCTGAGGTACCATTCATGTGTGACCCAAATTGTGCAGGAAAGGTTACACGTCAAAGTTTAATATTTAAAGGTTCACACAAAAGAAAATTGTAATTTACTCACCCCCATGTTGTTCCAAAACTGTATGACACGAAATAAAATACTCTGAAAAATGCCTCAGTGTTTTTTTTTTGTTCATAAAATGAAAGTCAATGTTTGGACCCCACTGAGTATCATTGTATGGATAAAAATAGTTGAACACTTCAAAATGGTTTATTTTGTGTTCTGCAGAGGAATGGAAGTAAATGAAGACTTAATTTTAGAATTTTCTGAATCTTTAAGATTAGGAGTTTGTCTAAGTATGAATTACAGTAATAGTGATACTTGCTACCTGCAGCACTACTAGTAATTTTGTGTACATTCAAATTAAGAAATTCCGTGAACATTTAAACCCAACAAGAACTGTCAGTGAGTAAATGTTCAAAACTTTTTGTCTCTTAATTGATTCTTTCAGTTTATTTAGGCTTAGCTAAAACTAATTTACCAACAATCCCAATTAACACCCTCTTTTGAGTGATTATCAGGATTAAACTGGTTTTGGAGAGCAGGTCAGTGTGCAATGAGGAAATAAAGCCAATCTGAATGTGCATGGGGTGTGTGTGTGTGCTTTCAGACCATCTTCAGATCTGTGCATGTGTGTATCATCTCCCATGGTGGATGGTCTACCACAATGAAAGCAAAGCCTTTGTCAAATCTCTTCTAATATGCTCTGGGCGTGTTAACACCTTTATGTGGCCACAAAGACTCTGTTTTATATGTACATATGCGCGCACATACGCAGTCAAGCAGACACATGTAAGTGATAAACACCACAAGCTAACACCCTTTAAGGTAAACAAAAAAACAAGCTCAGCCTCAAAACACACATCATGTTCCCCTCCATCCCCTCATATTCACAAACACCTCAACATCAATCTCAGAAATGAAACAGGAAAATCTTTATTTCAGAATATATACAAAACGTCATGACCACAGCAGTCACATATGTACATTAGTGCTTTAAAACAAATTTAAAAAGGCAGCAAATAAACTAAACTGAATTGAAAAAAATATGAAAACGTGTATTGAACTTTTATTATAGCAACTAAAATGCACTTTTGCAGTGCTGAATGTCAAACACGTAATAGGAAAAATTCCAGGTGTCCCCCAAACCCTCTTTCTGTGTTTGTGGTAAACCAGCACTGCACCTCATTTCAAAAGGCAGCAAAACAGTTGTAGCGAGAATCTGTTGTTTTTTTCCTGCATTTCTGCACTGTCTGTATATGCTCCTACTATGTACTTTTTTTTTTTTTATGTAGAGTGACTCCAGAATTTAAGCATAATTTGTCAAAATGTCATAAAACTTCAAAATCAAGTACAAAAATATACATTTAGCTTAATTAACCATTTTAAAAAAGTCTGAAAATATGAAAATTAAAATGAAAAATTGAAAATATTAAAGACTTTAAAAGTAATACTAAATTACTATCTGAGGTTGTGATGTTTCAGACAAAAACAATAAGTCATTTTTAACTTTCCAGTGTAATGGTTAGCTGTAAATAAATCTAAAAAATCAGAAAATACAAAAGTATACAGTATTATATGGGCAATGATAAAATAGCAGTCTCAGCGCTTCAAATAATTTCAGGACTCAAATGTACAAACCATCTGAGGTGCTGACTTATGATTAACATCTGAAATTTCATATTTTCCTAAAATAACGAACACTAATCTATTCAGTTCATTCTATATACATTACTATTCACCATTCAGTCTGACAACTTCTCGAAATAGCCTTGCTCCTATGGATTATGGCCAAAACTGTTGCTATGGCGTGTAAAACATAAAATGAACCTTAGCTGCAAAACACCCAGAGAGTTCAGATTGATGTTTGGGAGATGTTAAAAATGCAATGAAAAAGGTACTAAAAAAAAAGAAAGAAAACGTAAAAGTCAGTCTCGAGTAAAAGCTTTTCTCTGATTCGCTCTGACTATGTCATCCGGAGAGGGTGTGTCGAAAGAAAATGGGTTGATGTGATGAAGAGGTGGACAATGCACTCGTTCTTTCACTCTCCCCATCTGTCTGCTGTATAAGAAAGCATTATGAGCCGCTCTATTGCGCCGACTCTTCTCGTTTCTCACACACACGCACATCGCTAATGCAAAAATCGACGGTTTAGCAAACACACGTTTTTTATGACTAGCAGAGATGTGGGAAAAACTGGATGGTGAGCGACCATCGGGAGATGTTTGGGACATGAGTGCGCTAAGATCGACGCTCTGATTTAAGCTTAGTGGGCGGGACTTATGTACAGCTGCTGCAGATTTGTTCGATGCTTGATGATTAGACCCATTTTCACTCTTAAGCGATGCAGTGCATGTTGGGAGTTGCGGAACAAGTGATGCTTGGTGTTGGGACATGAGGACGGACAGGGATGGTGCCTCTGAAAAGCCAGGAGGAGCATTTGCATCAGATGTTCGGATAAGCTTTTGATTGTTTTGAGGACAAGTTGTATGTGAATTATGTGCGTTTTGGAGTCCTGGCAAACTGTCATAGAGTTTGGGACTGTTGTCCTGATGCTCCTGGATCAGCTCAGCCAATGAAAGGCTTCCAGAGCTCCTTTCTTGCCCAGGTATTCCCGACGGTCCACTGCTTTGCAGGACAGAGCTCAAACTTCCTAACAAGACAGGAAGAGGGTCGGACGGCTTGGAATCCTGCAGCGATAGACTACTGAGAGAGCAGGTTAAGAGAGATGAAGATGTCACACCCAGACCAGCTGGGACAGATGTGCCCAAAGAGAGACCAGAAGAGAGAGTCGCACCAGAGCCAACAGACAAACCGGAAATGGGTGGGACACTAGGACCCTGAGAAAGCACTGCAGAAAGTGGGGCAGCAGGACCAAGAAAATAACCAAAAGGACTGGTAGTGAGGGGAACTGTGTTATCCAATGAGAGACCAGTGGAGGGAATTAGAGGAGGAACATTTGTACACTTCTGTTCATGCTCAGCTATTAGTTGGGCCAGTGAACTTTGTCCTAAAGTAGACTGCCCACCATCACTACCCAAATTCTGACTCGAAACCACTTTTAAATGGTCTTTTCTCAAACTTCCCAGACCAGGGGGAGGATTCAGAGCAGCAGGTATGGACTTGTTTGGGTCAAGCATGGCTAACAGATCACTGAGGTTGTAAGATTGATTGCTGTCTCGTTTGCATGTACTATTGTGTGAGAAAGGAAATAAGGCTCCTTACCTTACGAGGGCCAATCGTAGTCAAAGAGTGCAACCGAGAGGATGAGGAAGGTGATCGAATTTCATTGGTTAGCCGAGACCACAGAGAAAGCAAGAAAAAGGCAATACATTATACACTGTAAAATTAAGGACATCAGCGATTAATAAATAAAAAATGTTATCAATTGAAGCACTGAGAAAAATTAGTATCTTACATTTTTATATTTTATAATTATATGGTAAAGAAGAAAGGTGTTCTTCAACATTACATTTCATTTATACACATAATAATAATAATAATAGTAAATATTTGTATGAGTCTTATTAGTCATAGTATCTTTTAAAATTATTTGTATGTATTATTATTATTATTATTATTATATATTTATTTATAGCCTCCAAGATTGAAAAACATTTTAGGTTCTCCCCAGTTTTGGAAAAAACCTGGAATTTAGCATTTTCCCCTGAGACCTCATGCCAGCTTGGGTTTTTTTGTTTTTTTTTTCTATCTGTGGTGAAGTGGTTTTCATTTTCATTTTAGATTAAAATACATAATAGGGCACATTTTTAAGTGGAAGTAACACTGAGTATTCTGGCTAGCTAATGGCTATAAGGGTGTGTAGGGTTTTGTTTTTTTGGTGATGTGACATGTATTGGTTTTGGGTGGAAGGGTGTGTATGTGTACCTTTCTGTGGTGCAGCTGTGGTGATAGGCTCGGGCTGTGAGTTGGTTCTGGCTGGAGGGGTGTGTACATTGGTGTTCTCCTCAGTTAGAATAAAATCAAGGGCTCTGTGAGGGTCACAGTCATATTTCAGAGCTGCCTGAGTTAATGTGGAGTCTGGAATTGAATCTCCCAGCACAGCTCTCATCTGATCCAAACAAGAATACAACTGACCTGTCCAAACACAAACAAACAGGAAAATAAGGACAACTGATAAAAAAACATTCCCAATGGAATATTGTTTATGTGCACACAAAGCCATCTAGGAATGTGCAAAACTACACTACCGTTCAAAAGTTTTTGGGATCAGTAAGATAAGATGCTATTCTTTTAAACTTTCTATTAATCAAAATCCACCAAAAATGTATCAAGGTTTCCACAAAACATATTGAGCACAACAGTTTTCAACATTGATAATAATAAATGTTTCTTGAGCAGCAAATCAGCATATTAGAATGATTTCTGAGGATCATGTGACACTAATTACATATTAGAATATATTAAATTGTAATAATATTTAACTATTTTAACTGTATTTTTATCAAATAAATGCAGCCTTGGTGAGCATAAAAAATATTTTAAAACTGTACCGACCCCAAATGGTAGTGTACATATGCTTAAAAAATCTGCTAGGTTTTGGGTTGTCTGAACAACTAGTTGATTAACCTGTCTTAAACTTGTAGCCAATCAGCAGTAAGCGGCGTGTCTACTCTTGATGTGGAGGAGAGAGCGTTCAGTGCACAGGACGGACATTAGCCGAGCGACAGAAAGATAGAGATGGCGGATAAAAAACAAAAGAGGAAAACGTCTGCAGAACAAAAGAAGGCTTAAGGCAATAAGGCAAGAAGTAGGACCCGTGTAAATATCGGATCAGCTTTCCAGCACTGGAGAGAACTCAAAGAAGCGGAAGGCCTGCGATCGGACACCGAGGTTGCTTTGTTTCTTCTCGATAGGTGAGTAACACCGTGTCTGCACCACAACAGCTAAAGTCTGTCTAGTACACTGGACGCGACAAAGCGACCCTTTGAAAATCATTTGAAATTTGCAGTTTTCTGTCAGGGATTTGTCGTGTCGCATCCAGTGTAGACCATAAATATGTATATATATCTATGGTGTAGACAGCATCACTGATTATAATGAGTTCTATAGTATTTTGTTGCG